ATTTTTAAAACAAGATAGAAATAATATATTAGCACTCTTGTCAAATTGTCAAGGACATAAATCTCAAAAAATAAAATCCTCAATACATTCTTGTGTCATTGAAGAAAACTAGAAAGGCACTCAAAAAGTAATATAATATTAAATTAGAATAGCTATTGACGAAAACAAAAAGACTAAAAAGTCTTAAAACAAGACTAAGTAATAGAAAGGCATTGATAAGAATGAAGAAGACTTCACTCTTGCTTCCATATATATTCTTAACTAGGAGCTACGTGGTGATGTCCTATATGACCTCCAAAATGTGTTGACTTTGCAAGACATGTAACATTGTCGTGATGTAATATAACTATATAGTAAAATTATAATCAAAATTGAATTTCTAATTAATATCTAATTATCTTAGTTCAATCATAATTTGAGGTATCTAAACATGGCTTTTATAAAAGCCTCTTAGGTTATTTTCTTATCTTAATAGTTAGTAAGTTGAAGGTTAGTTAGTAATTTTACCTTCTAGATTGTAGAGACTCTTCTACTACCTTAGAAAGACCATAAATTGATAAAATCAGATTAAAAGAGATAAATAATTAGTATAGTTGGTACTAGGATTAAGTTGAGAGTAAATTTGGGCTAAAAAATCCTTAGGATAGGTTAGATTGATACCCAGAGGTTGACCATTTGTGAGAGAGGGTTGAAATCAGACCTTTAGCCACTAAAATGACGACCTAGGGCAAAATAGAGATTCATTTGAAGATTGGAGAATATGATTTGACAGCTAACTTAAAATTCTTTATGGATGCATAAGGATTGTTTTTGGAGGGCTTTTGAAGACTTAGCAATTGTTATTCAAAGTCAAGGTTTGTATTGGTGATCTGGATTTTATATAATATAATTAGGGCTAGCAATTTTGGCTAGTTCATGCAACTGGTATAGCATCTATAGTTCAAAATTTGATACCATTTAGATTATTAGGTGTGCTAAGTGTATACAAAATTTTGTAATAATCTAAAGGCATGGTTTAGAGATATCTGGTTTTTAGCACAAGAGGATTTTAGAAGTTGGCAGTTTAGGGTTGGATAGGATTTTTGTGATATCTAGAGATCTACTAGTCAGATCATGGTGAAATTTGGCAAGGTGTTAAAGGACTTAATGATAAAGTTACACACTAATTTTGAGTTAAAGTGAACGGTTGAAGAAGGAGAAATCACTGCTAGGATTTTTGCTTCACTTTTCAAGTTGGTGGCCGAGTGACATCAATGCAATTTTTGGAGGTTTTCTCACAATCTACAAATTGGATTGGGCTAAAAATTCTTAAGCATATAGAAGACTTATATTGACAATTGCATGCAAAATATTACATCAAGTGGACGGTCAGATTGGATGTTACAACTTCTTAAAGCTCATTGATTAGGATTGGGGCTTATAAGAAAAATCTAAATTGCTTAAATATAAAAGTAACAAGGTAATTGGGATTTATGTATGGTTAGGACTACTAAGAAGAGTGTTTTTTAGCACTTTTAAATTAAAATTAAAATTATATTCTTCTCATATAGATGAAATCTATTAGGATTTCTTGAATACTTGTAAAACACAACTTCATCTTCCATAGCTAGGTGTCTGGTGCATTCTTAAATAAGACAACATGTAATACGACATCGTAACTTGCAAGGCAAGTTTTTATATGTGCACCACATAATTAGCTTGTTTTGCAAGCTACCAATATGTGGTTAATTTATTGACCAAGTTTCTAACCTATCAATCAACTCCAAGCACATGTAAAGTCAAGTAACATCTATGAAGCTTCTAAGAAGCTTCTCTAAAAGGTTTTATGAAATTAACCTACTTTTATCTACTCCTATCTAATCATATAGATATTTGCTAGAATACCTATGTATGTCCCTGACTCATACATTTAAGAAACTTGCCTTACAAGTTAAGTCACATGTCTTATAAAATTGCACATGTATTGAAGGTCTTATAGAATGTCGTCATATGATTCTTAGTTAGATAGTATAGATAGAGAAAAGAATGAAGCCTTTGTCACTCTCTTCAACGTCTTTATAGTCTTATCTTTAGTATAAAAAAAAAACAAAAAACAAAAAAAAACAAAACAAAACAAAACCAAAATCAATATATTTTTTATTATTTATAACATGAAATACAAAACAAAAGAAATTAATCAAGTAAGTGAATTGATGATCAAAATTTTTATATATATATATATATATATATATATATATATAAACAATAGCCATAGAAGCAACAAATATTGATCATCTTTAAATATTTCAAAAAATATATCTTAAATTAAAATTTTTGATGCGTTACAATTGGAAATCAAATACTAAATAAGATACTTATTATTTGTGTATTTTTTTTATTTGTAAGAAAATATTAAATCAATCCAAGGCTCTTCTTGGCTGCTATAAATAATCCAAGAAGATTCATTTTTTAACCAATAATAATAGGATTTTTAGTATGGAACTGGTAATTCATAATTTGTCCATGCAAGATGAGCTCTAAATCATGTTTGTTTGTGATGAATCAACAATCAACAAGGAAGAGGATTTTAGTGTTGTTGTTTATTGAGTTCAAAGATTTTTTCTCCCAAATCTGAGAAGTAGTCACAAAAATTGAACCATGAGAATGAGGTGGGTCAATTTAAAATTTAGATAGTTTGATTTAATATTACTCTAAATACATTTATGTACATATATCCCTGCCACTGCCACCCGCAATTTGATTCAGTAAAACAGAATCAGTATTCGAAGGAACAAGTAACTGTTAAACAATGGGTGGATACATACTTCAAAGATCTTAGCTGTCCTAAACGTTCTCATCCACCCAAGCTTGGTGGATGAGGAGTAATTGACTAACATCCAGAGTCAATAGTTTCAATACGTTACAAAGCAACATCTGAATTACGCATTGTGCCGTGCACCTCTGTGATGGAGGAACAGAAACGCTCTGGTAGTTGCCAAGTCTCACAAGCATGTTGGATCATATGATCTGGCCCACCAGCACTCCTCTCACAGGTTATCTGTTGTGCCGGGCTCTGCAATCTCCAACAGACAAAACCATCAGGATACATGTTCCCAGCAGATAAGGCTAACACGAACACAATCGCCATTGCAGCATTGTGTCCAAAATGCTGCATCGACTGCGCAAAATGTGTGCAAGTGGGTCATCCTACCAATGGTACTGATCGCTGTGCTCCATCTTCCTTGTGGATCTTTAATGGTGTTTGACAAGGTCCTGGATGCACTCCTTTCAATTTAGTTGGAAGTGTTCATACTCTTTGCAAGCCACACGTGACACATGAGTCCAATGACATCAGCGAAGGTGGTGCACCGTGACTACATCAGTGATGCGATGTGCTACTAGTTAGTGCCAATTGAGTGTCTAAATATCTCAATGTCAAGTATGAGCTGCTAGAAACCCGTTGCGTGCCCTGCAGGCTCCTTACAAATCTTCCTCCCATGGATTGAAGTGATATTCTGATTTACTGATAAAACTGTCGTTGGAGGAGGCGGCTTGTGATTGACGCCTCCCTTTTCTGCAAGTTGGTTGAAATAATTCCAATTAAAAGCGAACTTCTCTCGGACGCACCAGATATAAAAGCAAGATTGACAGTTGCGATGGATAAGATTATCAGACTAGTCCTAGGTTCATAAATTTATCACACCAATCTTGATGATGTTTGCAGCTCGTTGGAGCAAGCACACTGCCGCTGAAAAGAATCTCTGATCACCACCAGAAAAATTAGCACACTTCGACACAACACAATTACTACCCCCTATCTTCCTGTCATTAGTCTCCAGTTCTCCTCATTTTCCAAGACCTTCAAGCACCTCAAGAGCACTGTCACCCAACTGTACGGTGTGTACGAATCAACGTGCCTCCAGTGCTCCGCCTCATCAGGTCAAACTCTTCCAGCCTATGTTTGGATCACATTATGTCCGACGAATGCGTGTCCAGACCTGAACCAAAATGAGATTGTGCTCCGCGAAGTCTGCGGTATGCACATATGTTATTCTGACCTAGAACTATTTAAGCACCTGAAGAATCTCAGAACTAGTCACTTCTAATTCTCATCGCCGTCCTTCCCACTTACCTAGCCTCTGGGCAAACTTTTACTTGGGTCTGCTGTAATCCCACAAAGCCAATTATGTTTGACTGAAATCAAAAACCAGCGCCAGGATGGCCTGTTGTTGCTGCACACCAGGAAATCATGCGGGGTCCCAAAGTTTACACAAAAACCATCAGTAAGTGGCGTAAAAAGCCAACACAGTATGGATAGCGATAATTATGCCCTGTCGTGGATGCAAACCACTTCGCCAAAAGCTTTTTGTGATGCTCCCCACAACACGCCAGCTCATCGCTCTGCCCCAGTGCACACTCGATCGAATTCAACCACATTCCGTAGAAACTTCATGAGCCAACTCAGCAACCCACGCCCCAGGTGAGTGGCTACACAGTAAATAGAAAAGGATTCCGCACAACTATCACTCGAATGACGGACCAACTTACCCTTGTAAGTGCTAAAGATGCTACAGATTCCCCTCACGTCTCTACATCTATATCCTTAAGAACCACCTTCCCTGAGCGTAAATGATGTTCCTACCAGGACTTTCAACAAAACTTCAGAGTCGTTACACTGGTCTGTTCACACAATACCAGCAGTGAATTCTTTCATTCACAAAATAATGTCAGACCAAGAGCACCAGGGGAAGGAGTTTGTGCCGAAGCTCACCGAACTGTGAACTTGCACCACGAACACACAGTAGATGACAATTAAGGAAAGTTGAAAAAATCGAGAAACCACCCAACAAAAATCTCCCAAGGAGACACTCAATGCATTAGTTGCACTAAGTTTCTGAGGTCCAGGCTCCTACGAGATCCAGTACAAGCCGAGCTGGAGTATAGTGTTACCAACCAGCGTGAGTAAGTAACGCTTCACAGCTAAAGAAAGGTGGAAAAGGAAGACTGGGAGATACAACGTGAGCACGTCAAGCATAAACCCTTTCATTTATAATTTTTGCCCAGCAACTGCCGGAACACATTCAAGGTCTTTCACAGCCTACGAGTGTACACCAGACATCTACAAAATTATACTGATGAGGTCCTGAGCAAGAGGACCCGAACCATAACAGGACATAATAACAGGAAAAGGGGCCTTCAAGCAAAGCAAATTGAAAACCCAAGCGAACGTCCCTGAACGGTGCGCACGGTTTTATAAGAAAAGACTACACAATACACAGCGGGCCAAGCAGGAGAAAAGGCTCACACACTGGACGGGACAAGTGCACAAATCCCTGACCCCGAGGGGAGAGAATATTATTAAGCCCCGACAGCGTCAACGGCTGCCGTGACGTAGATAAAGAATGGCCCCTACTTGACACTAAGAGAACAACCTGTTTCAACTGTAGTGGTTTGGCTACCTTTTGGAACCTTTGGATTCGATGAATTATGGTTAATAAAAACACGGGGTCCTGGGGTGTGAGGAGGGGCGGACGCGGAACCCTGGCCAAGTCGGAGCAGGCTAGAGCGAGATCATCCATGCCGTACCAACAGCACGAGTTGACATAGCACCTCATCAACCTTATTATTTTTCATTCCCTTAGATTGCACAACACAAGCAGGACTTCAACACGCGGTACTTCGAGTGTCGCTCCATTGCCAGATGTAACATTATACAGCATCACCGTGCTTACCCCACACCAGCTCTCTTTCATCAATTTTCTTGTTCGTTCGATGAGAAGTAACCCATGTCTGGCACTAACGGTCTATTTGGTACAAATTCTCAATCTAAGGGACGAGAGAAAGTCGTCAACATCACTCCTGATGGCTGCCTGAGGCTGGCTGCCAACGTGGTCCTCATAATCAATCATGGTCAATAAATCGCAAGAGAGAATGCTTGCGCGCAGCAAAACTTGCAGCCTGAATGCCAAACTCGGCAGCGTCTTCACACACGAGTCAAGTAATACAACGTCATTATCGTATGAAAGGGTCAGCTATTGCGAGCTGGTGGGATCGTCGCCGCTGTCGCCCTGTTGGTGCCCTGAGCCACCCATAGACTGATGATCAGGGGTCAAGTTGCGGCTATAAGCATTCATTGCGGCCAGCAGCCCTAAGTGCCCCTCACCACCACCACCAAGGCCTAACCCAGTGCCCGGCATCTGCTGACCCCCTTGCTGCAACAACATAGACCCAAGCGGCACATGATGACCCATATGACTGCCCTGAAGCTCTAGTCCCATACCTCCCTGAAGATTGATCCGCGGCATCACTGACGCCATCAATGGCACCATCGCCTGTCCACTGCTGCCGGAAGTGGGTGTATTACCTTGGCCACTCCCGCCATTGCCTCCCGGACCCAACTGAATCGACGTCCCCGCCGCTGCCGTCATTCGGTACTGTCCCGAGGCCGTCGGAAACGTCCAGATTTGCTGCTCCGATTGCCCTGACATCACTCCTGCCGACGCCCCCCCCTGCGATGTGCTCACAGGCAACATCCAAATGGTCCCCGGCATGGCACCGCTGCTGGAAACGCCTGCCCCTACCGGAGCCACAGCCCACATTGCTGCTGGCATAATGCTCGACGACCCTCCTCCTTGGTGCTGCCCTTGTCCTCCCTGCTGTTGCATGGATGGTCGAGCAGTTGTTCGCACGGGCCTGGCCGGCTGATCCGGATCCTCTTTCATCCGGCTCTGCAAGGGTCTTGGTCTCTTCCGCATCCTGCTGTCGGGAGATTCCATCCCTTCCCCAGCCTCCGACGGGCCCCCCACCAGGTCCTGGTGCTGGAACCCTGCCATAACTTCATGGCTCATACCTGGATCCCCATGCCCAAGACTCATCCGCCGACTGGCTTCGAAGGCCCGCGTTGCTTCCAACACGCGCTCATCTGTACTAGCTCCCCATTCGTTCCTACCACGCTGTGCCTGTTCATGCTGCATTCGACTCTGCATCTCTTCCGCCGTTGTCCCACCACCCGGCCCAGCCAAGCCTAGACTACCATGCATTCCAGCTCTTCCGGCCGCTGCCACTGCCATACTCGCAGAGCTCCGTATCGATCCCTGAATCGAGGATATAGTGGCTGGAATGGTTCCAGTTCCTGTCGCAGCAATAATCGACTGCTCGGATTTCTGCAACAACCACTCGATCGTCTCACCATCGGATTTGTGACCAAGCTCACGAGTCAGCTGGAAAATTCGCGCTGCGCACGTCGCGGGCATGCGAATGCGACGCCCGCGCCCGTCCACTTTGGTGTGTCTGTCTTTCGTCGATGTTCGTTTCGGTGGTGGCTTTTTAGCCGCCACAGCTGGCGCCTGCTGCTGCTGCTGCTGCTGCTGCTGCTCTCCTAAGCCCCCCGCCATCGACATACTACCCATCCCACTTACGGCCCCACTAGATTGTCCCTCGCCACCACCATATTCCTGCCCCATCCCTGCCATAGCTAGTGCCGTCGAATCCACCTGCCCTACTACACCTCCTACTCCCTGTCCTCCCATCGCCGTCATCGCTGCAGCCAGTAGCTCGGCATTCAATTCTCTTTCTTTGACGATATTATTGCTGGCTATTCGAGAGGCGGCTCGTACCCAACTACCCTGTGTTGCTGATAATTCTGCATCATCTGCGGCGTCAATAACAACTCTGAGCTCCCCCAAACGCGATGAGAATCCCTCTAAAAATCCACCGATACGGCGTGTCCATCCAGAGACTCACTTGCGAATATCAAACTCCCTAACCCCATCAAACCTTTTTAACGATCTAGCACCAATAAAAATAAAAACACAAACAAACAAAAACAAATACAAATAAAAATAAAAACCCTTCCGACAGCATCTCTTATCAACAGGTTTGTTTGAAAGTAATATTCTAGCGTACCTTGGCATGACCTCCACTCCACCCCCCGAGAACCGTCACTACCACGACCTCCGTCACAAGGCCCATGATCTCCTCCTCCTCCTCCTCATCCCGCCACCATCACAGTCCCCACTGATGCCCAGCTCCTCTGACCCAATTCCTTGCTGGTTGTCTTTCTCTCCTTCTCCTCTCTCTTCCTTCCCTTCTGTATGATTTTCAAATTTTGTTTTCCCCCTCCTTCTTTCTCCTCCCCTTTATTTTTATTTTTTTTCCTCCGCACCCCTACCTTCAACCTTCAGCCCTGCCGCCGATCATCCTCATACTTTACCTTGACGCCTGTCTCAAAACCTACCGAACCTCTCCCAGCCATGTGCACAAGAATCTAGCTACCACGGTTGATCGCTTAAATTCCAGAGGCGTTCACCTCGTGTGCACCTCTCACCAGAAGCAGTAAACTAAGGAACTCTAGAAGCGAAGCGTGAACAAGAAGAGGCTGACAGTTGGGTAGACAGATGAGGAACCTGGGGTGGATAGATTCGGATGGCAGCGGGAGCAAGCGAGGTGCAGGGAGCGGGGGGTTAGGGGCGGGGCGACAGGAGAAAGCGGGGAAATGAAATGCTAGCGGGAAGGAAGACAAGAGGAGGGTTGGGGAGAGCGGGTGGGGGCCTTGGCCTTGCGATTCTGGAACCTGGTCGGACGAAGACGAAGAGGTGGAGCGGACGAAGCGGGCGCAAAGCAACGCAAGCGAGCGAGCGAGCGAGAGATGGATCTCGATGGAGAGCTGAGATGGGATGGACGGGAGGGGAAGGGGTGGGGCCCGGGTGGGGCCCGGTGGGCCCGAGGTGGGCCGGGCTGCTGCTGCTTATGGCCTCCTCCCTCCCTCCCTCCCTGCCACCGCCTGCCTACCTGCTTGCTGTCGCGCGGGCGGGCGGGCAGGTGATACATTATTTGATGGGCAGCGAGCGTAAGAGGAGGAAAACCCAATCGGCCAATATATACCCACCCGTGTGTTGTCCTCCTCCTGGGTGGCGAGAGAGGGAGAAAGAGGGATAGAGATAGAGGAAGTGAGTGAGCGAGCGAGAGGGACTACGCCGTGGTGTGAGTTATCGCTGGTACTGTGGCCTGTCCCTGGGCTTCCTCATCCCCTTTCCTTCTCCTCATGATTCCCTCATCCTCGGGCCTCATCATCCCATCCCTCCTCACTTCCAGAACACTACTGCTGCAACAACAACGACAACCACAGCACTGTTCCCAGTGAGCCAATATCCTTTGACATGTGTGCTTGAAAGAAAATTTTATCAAAATCGTCTCTCTCTCTCTCTCTCTCTCTCTCTCATATATATAAACAAGAATATTAATTCAAGAAAGCAAAAAACTTGACCATATTACAACCACTTGTTGATAGCTGTAGCCAAGTACTTCAACATTACTATTATTATAATAAGTGGAATATTAACATTGAACGTTACAATCTGCTACATATGATGTTATTTATTCATTTGTTTGCATCTTTGTCTATTTGCCTTACTTTACTTTATTTTTTGAAATATTAAATGCTTTGACATATTGTTTCATTTGACCCAACAATCCTATCCTATAATTTGATTAACTTTGGCCTGTTTCAATTCATACCAAAACTTTATCAAGGTGTTTTTATGTGCAGTGGTTGGAATACTTTTTTCAGTTTGATTATTGCCACTTTTAGAATAATAAAAAGTCTTGGAAGAACGGGTATAATACAATCCTTTAGTCATAATCTCATAAATATTCTCTCTTTTTTTCTTAGTCAATCATTTTAGTCTTTGATTACAGGGAGAAAGCAGTGAAAAGTTAAATAAAGCTGAAATTATGCCAATGAATATAATTTTCATAATAATGTACAATACACTGTGAGAGGAGTAGAAATCAAATCAGGAATAAAAGGTTTTAACATTTTCTTTTTAAATGCAAAAACTTTTGAAACATCTACATGATGGTCATTGTGATTATTGTTATTATTCAAACTAAAAATAGGTGAAAATGAAATGAGGTTGATACATTCAAAATCACTAGAATTTTGGTGACGTTCATTGTAAGGAAAAATAAATAAATACTAAGTGTCCTGCAAAACTACAGATCCAGACATCCTTGTGACACTGCATGGACTTGTGTCCAACAAGAGAAAGTCCAGAAAAGAAGTTTTTAATTAGACTGCTGGGTTGGGCAGCAGCTCAGTGAGTTCTAAGAAACTGGACATCAACTTATCATATAACTTTCACACTGAACTGCACTCTTGATTGGAGACTCTGACAGACTAGACCAACCTAATTGCCAGGTCGTAGAATATAATTTCAACAGGTACAAGAGTAGAAGAAAAGTTTTTATTGATTTATCATTTTAAAATTCAACCAGAGCAAAAACAGAAACCAGAAGAAGCATCATGTACAGGCTCCTGCATTATGAACAAACACCCAAACTCTCATTTACATTGGCAAACTTCAGAAGACCTTGTGCTTTGCATTTGGGTTCAAGGTTTTTACCCTTTATGGTAACATTTCAAAGTAGGTTTGTTTAAGCAAGAAGAATGATTGAAATTTTCCCTTCCAAGTACTGATATTTGGTAAGAAATTTTATGCTGGTAGCATTGTAGGTTAAAGAGTTGACTTAATATTGGTGGTTTGGGTTCATGATAAGTTGTATGTTTCTGTGGAATCTACTCACAATGGATTGGATTGAAGAAAATCTAACCACTCCCATCCATGTAACTTATGTACTCTCTTACTCTTCTGTGTTTTACTATCCTCCAGATGAGTGAGGAATGAAGACAAGCAACAGTAAATTGTAAACAAGGTTAATAAAGTGACACTGTTGGAATTTAGTGTTGCACAGTTCTCATAAATCCATGCTTGGGATGTTTCAGGACTCCAACACATAAGAACAAAAGAGTGTCAAACTTAGCACTGCTGAAGTGATACATGAATATATACATATGTATGTGTCCCCACACACACACACACATTTGAACAATCAGGGAAAAAGGGGTACTGCTATGCAAATGGGTTGTGCATGAAGCTTGTATAACTTTTGTGCCATGAGCTGGAGCTAAATATTGGCATAGAATCAACAGCACACTACATCTACATTTGGCAATGGCTTCCACATCACAAACACATGTGATTTTCCTCATTTGGCATTCCTTTCTTTCACATGTCATTACAAGTGTTCAGTTGTTTTTAAAGTGCTACACATTGCAAGCTTACCAGGAGTGAACAGATCCCAACCATGAGACTAACCATCCACAATCAATAGTTATTTTAGTACATTATTACATATCCATCCTGTTCAAACTGAAAGTACAAGAGGCCACATTCTTCAAACCACAGGAAAATGTTTTCAATACAATGGTGAAGGTGCTTCAAGGTGGTTTCATAAATTCTAGGCATTACAGAGCCCCTTAGGTATTAATGTTCATACAAATCCTTCTGTAGTTTTTCTTTATAGAAAACAAAACAAAACAAAACAAACTTAATAATTGCAATAAGAATTTGGGACATTAAGATTTCACTGATTACCACAAGACAACAGTTTTGAGCCAGAAAAGCAGAGAAACTTTTGAGGGGTTGCATGCCTGCCTGGGCTTGGGCTTGGGCTTGGCGTCATCAAACCCTGGCAGGGAGCTTGGGCGGCATTAGGGCACCTTATGGCATGACCAATTGCTGAGGTAAACACGAGCGGGGGGGGGGGGGTGTAATGGGGCCCATAAAAGACAGGGATTAGAAAGGCATGGCGCCAGAGGAGGTAGGGGATCTTATTAGGTGGGTCCAGCTCACCCTCATTCCTCAGCAGCTAATCCTGGAGGGGGCGGCAGACGTAGTTCCAAACTTAACCCCAGCCTTTCTCGTGGTACCTTTTCCTCCTTTATCCTCGTGGACTCACCCTTACCCTCTCACACTCACTCACTCACTCACTCACTGCCTTCGCTCCTTTTTTACTCTGCATCCTTTATCATCCCCAAGTTCTCATTTCTTATCATAATTCCTTCTCACTTTTTTCCCTTTTCCCCCCTCTCATTTTGTGCCCTTTCCCAGACATAAATCATGAGCCCCGTCCTTGTGTAACACCACCCCATGTATGAATCCACACACAGGATCTGGATTCCATTATCATCCTGTACTCCACTAGAAAGAGCAATGGCTACAATACAACCATGCCGCACTTGGGAGAGGAAAGAGGGAGGGGTGTGAGGGAAGGAGTAGAAGGCAGGAAGGAAAGGGGGCGGGGTAAAGAGACTACTACTGGGCTCTTTCTCTCTCTCACTCTCTCTCTTTCTGGATGATGGGCCTGCAGCACTTACCAGCTAATCACATGCAAGGGATTTTCCGGATATAGAAAGGCTCTAATAGGGACCCATCAATCAAGTGGGGCCCGGACAGTTCGGAGTAGTAGAGAGTAATAGGCAGGTAGTAGGGGGGAGGGAGGGAGGGGGTGGGGGGGGGCAGCTTGACTGGTTCCCTGCTGCAACGGGCATGGCTCTCTCCTGAATCCAGCCTGGGTAATAGTATAATATCGTATCGTATCGTGTAGGGTGTATGCCACCCTTCCCCTTATTGTCACTCCTCCTACACTTCCCTCACTCACTGGATCAGTGCCCCAAAGTGTCTGTCAGGCAAGTGCTATATCGTGCTGCCACATGGATAAACCTGGCCTCTACCCCCCCCCCATTCTCTTCCTTTCTCTTCCTTTTTTGCGTAAATTCGGTAATCTGCCCTCCTGCCCCTTCCTGCCCTTACTGCTGCTTTTTCATTTCTTTCCTTTTCCTGCCCGAACTTGGACTGCCCCTCGATTAGGGCCCCTTTGTTTTTTTTTTTTTTTTTTTTTCTTTTCCTCCAGCCATGAGTAGCCTGCCTGCCTTTCACGGATGATAAAAGAAGAAGAAGAAGAAGAAGAAGAAGACACCGTTTTTCTGGAGCTGGACCGTATTCCACCTCCATTCTCATTTGATCACGATTCAAAGCCAACTGGCTTGAAATTTCTTCTCCAGAAATTTGAATGTGTTGCTAATTTTGTCTTCTGTTGACTCCGTTTGGTTCACTTTTGAATCCTTACTAGTTTAAATTTTTGAAAGATGCAAATTATTGAGTATCTGAAATTTGTATTTTTGTGGAAATTTATTTTTGATTTTATACTTATAATAGAAATCCCTTAGGCCACAACTTTGCATGGAGTTTGAACTATACATACTTAGATCTTGTGAATATACATATAAAAAATAGTGAGTGATTTTTTTTTTCTTTTCTTTTCTGTGAATTTGATTTGTAGGGGAAAATGTGTTGAAGAAAGACAATCTGTTGTAATTTTATTTATAGTGCATTTGGTACACCTCATTCAATGCATGCAAAAAAAAAGGTGTGGTGCATGTGTATATATATACACAAAGATAGAGATATATAGAGAGAGCCCGAAATCACATCATTATTATGCACTAATGCAACATGTGTTTAATATAGATTCCACAGGAAATGATTCCACACAACATGTCCAAGGACTGTATTTAGTGGCCTTCACATATTAAAAACACAATAATCCTATATTCACATGCGATCGATGTTGATAATCAATTTGGTTAAATAATAGTCATCCTTAATTCAGTGAATCTTATACTTTATCATAGACAACATCAGCATGCTAGAT